GGGTGTATACTGTGCTTCCAGCTGTGCTCTCTAGAAGCAAGGAGCTGGGCTGGTGGAGGGACACAGTGAGGTGTTCTGAGAATGCTGTTTTATTTCTCATGTCACAGATGCATTCAGCTTACTAACTCCTCTTGGCAGGTCGCTCAGTTCTGAGTGTTTGTCCACCATGTGTGTGTGTGCTTTCATCTGCGGTACGTGCTGCTCGTCTGTGACGTCACCAGTGCGTGAATGTTAGTGGCATGTCTCCATTCTTCATCTGTATCCCTGTCTGGGCACACTGCGGCCGAACCAGCCTGCTTGCCTGAGGTAATAGCTACATTTGATCATCTGTCACCCTCTAACTCGCCTTATGGATTTTTGTTTGTTTGCTTGTACCCTGATCATGGAAAATTAACAGTTTTCCTGAAATACTACTCGAATAACAAAATAAAGATGCAGTGACCCATGGTTGAAAAAGCAGCAGACTTGTACTTTGTTGCCCATTATTTGAAGTCTGAAAATGGCAGCAAAGGATTTTGTATGGAGGTTGAGGGTTTTAACTGTAGGCCATTTAAAAATAAAATCATCTTTACATGGGTTTTGGTGTGTCTATCCGTGTACCCAATACCTGTCAATGAAATGCTTTTTGATGAGAGTAATAACAAAGGGTAGTACAGCTAACATTAGAATGTGTTTGCAGCTTTCTGATGCCTGATAGCTGTAGTGTAACAGATATATGTTACAAGTGCATGGATTCTTCTTTGGTCTTCCGTTTTCAGTGTCCAACTCACATGAATACAAGGCGAATGAAAACACTATGGCTTGGGTCAGGTGTACCTTAGTCCTCAAAGTAATGTCCTTGTTCTTCCAAGCCCCCTAATTACAGGTGAAGACATACATCACAGGTAAGGGTTGTGCTATAGGTATTACAGTAATGGGAGGGGGTGATCTAAGGGTATCCACGCAATAGGAATAGGAGGGATTGAGGGTATACACGCAGCAAGATGGGTGGGTTCTAGATACAGGATGGCAGCCTAACTTTGAATATCACAGAGCCTCAGAGCCGGTTTGACTTGTTCCTGGCTCAACTGATAGAGACCATTATCAGTCGGATATGAACTCCTCCTACTGGAGCCTGTCCATTGTCCCCAGCAGCAGGGAGTAGGGAGACACTATGTCCCCTATGGTGCGGGGAGACAGCTGTCTGGCAGCAGGGAGGATGTTTGTGAGCTGACCTCCTCCCACAGACAACTTTAACCCTTTCTTTTTATCATGTTGCCTATTGGTCTAGTAAGGATTTTGATTTTCATTAGCCAGTTCTTCACTTCCTCCTCACTTTCAGCAAGCAAGGTTGTGTTGATCTGCATAGCTCAGGTTGTTAATAAACCTTCCTCCAAACCTGATGCCCTATCCAGCTTTTCTGATTATTTTGTCAGCATACAGACTGAATAATGATGGTTAGGGGATATAACCGTGACATACCTTTTCTGATTCTAAACCATGCAGTAACCTCTTGTGATATTATTCCATAATTTGAGCATTCTGTTGGGTTACCTTTCTTTGGAATGGGTGTGTGTTTGGGTTGACTAGAGAAACAAATTCAGAGACACTAATGTGTCTAAGAAATAATTTTATATAAAAGAGCAATTGTATATTGAGAAAACATCCCAGCCATCCAGATCAAGTCCCTAAGTCCAATATTAACCCATATGTTCAATACCAATCTATATATTCCTCTATTCCTTTTCAGACTCACACAACACATGCAATGATGCCAAATGCAGGAAGATCACAGGCCAGTGAGTAGAAAGTCTTGTGGATCCAATTGCAGTGGAAGCATCTCAGTGCTGGCAGGGTCTCCACGTGGCTCCTCCAGGGAGGAAAACTGGAGCTCCTAGAATCCTTAGGAGAAGGCCATGCTCTCACAGAGACCTCACTGGCTGTGACCTGATTGACAGACTAGACTTTACCCTTTCACAAGTTGACAGGTGATGTAACTGCCACCGAGTACAAATAGGAATCTCTTCCAGTCAATTGGCCAAGTAGCCATCTTCCAAATTTCCTAGCATAGATGAGGGAGTGCTTCCAGTGTTTCATCATCTTGTTGAAACATTTTAATGTATATTCCATCAATTTCTGGAGCCTTATTTTTGGATAATGCTTTCAGTGCAGCTTGAACAAGTTTTTCCTTCAGCACCATTGGTTCTTGCTCATATGCTTCCTTTTGAAATGGTAAAATGACTGTATTTGTTCCATCTTCTTTTGCTGATCCCTGCATCATTCATCATTTTGTCCTTGGAATCTTTGAATATTATAACTTGAGGCTTAATTTTTTTCTTGAATTCTTTCAATTTAACATGCTGAGTGAGCATGTTTTTCCTTTCTGGTTTTCTAACTCCAGGTCTTTGCACATGTAATTATAACGTTTTACTTTGTCTTCTTAGATGCCCTTTGAAATTTTCTATTCAGCTCTTTGACTTCATCATTTCTTCCATTTGCTTTAGCTACTCTACAATTAAGAGCAACTTCCTGCGTCTCCTCTGACATGGACTGTGATCTTTTCATACTTTCCTGTCTTTTTAGTGATCTGTTGCTTTCTTCATGAATGATGCTCTTGATAGCATCTCACAACTCAGCAGATCTTCTGTCATTAGTATTCAGTGAGTAAAATCTGCTTTTTCAATATTCTCAAAATTAGTTGGGACAGAATCAGTTGTATTTTAGCTCTTGTGGACTTGCTTTAATTTTCTTCAGCTTCAACCTGAAGTTACATATGAGCAATTGATGGTCTGTTCCACAGTCAGCCCCTGGCCTGGTTTTAGCTACTGATACTGAGCTTCTCCATCATTTTCCCCCAGATATAGTTAATTTGATTTTCATGTTTTCCATCTGGAGAAGTCCATGTATGTTGTCGCAGTTTGTTGTTGAAAAAAGGTATTTGCTATAAACAAGTCATTGGCCTTGTAGAATTCTATCATTCGATTCTCAGCTTCATTTCTAACATCGACATATTTTCCTACTACTGTTCTTTCCTCTTTTCCCCAACGCTTGCATTCTAATCACCAGTAATTATCAGTGCATCTTGATCAATTTCCAACTGGAGATGCTGGTAGAATTCTTTAATTTCCTCACCTTTAGCTTTTGTGCTTGGCGCATAAATTTGAATAATTATATTGATTCGATTTTCTTGGAGGCAGATATATAATACTATCACAGATAATGTACTTAAAGATGAATTTTGCAAAGTTTTTTTTTGACAATGAATGCAACATTCCTCTTGATTGTTATTACTTGCATAGTAAACCATATGATTTTCTGATTCAAAATGGCCAATACCAGTTCATTGCAGCTCACTGACGCCTAGGCTATCCATCTTTATGTGTTCCGTTCCAGTTTGACAGCTTCCAGTGTTCCTAGATTCATACTTCTTACATTCTAAGTGCTGATCATTTCAAGTGCTGCATTTCAAGTGCCCTCTGACCTCAGAGCCCAAACTTTGGCGCTGTCCCCAACAGTGTTTGCTTTCATTCATCATGTTTTCGGTGGCTGCTTCCCCGAAAGTAGGTGGCTGACTCCTTCTTTGTGTCTGTTCTGTCTAGTAGCTCCATTAAAACCTATTCACTTTGTGTGACCTTGCTGGCATTTAAAGTACCAGTTATATCGCTTCAGCATCACAGCAACACATAAACCACCACAGTACAGCCAACTGACAGACAAGTGGTGGTATTTGAAAAGATTAAAAAAAAAAATCTAAGCCCTTTCCTCATTGTTCATCCATTTTGTAAAGTGGCTTAATATTAGAGTCAGGGGCTTAATTCTTACTGATTTTCTGTGTCCTTGAGTCAATTCTAATTCATATAATCCTCTCTCAAGTTGGTGCCGACTCATAGCAACCCTGTAGGACAGAGTAGAACTGCTGATCTTTGGATCGCAGCCCCATGTTGCAGAACAGAGCTGCCCTGTAGGGTATCCTGGGCTGTAACCGTCACAGAAGCAGAACCACTGGTGAGACAAACCACCAATGTAGCAGCCAAATGGTTAGCCCCTGGGTCAACAGGATTCCTTCTGTTTTTATTACTTATTCCGAGTAATGCAGTCCTTTGTTTGTGTTACTGTCTTTGCTTTGTCATACGCGTGTAGCCATCAGTTGAGGGAGCAGAGTAAGTTGAAAGAGTGCTTGTCTAGGAGATTTAGTAGATGGTGCTGGGCCAATAATAGCTAACTTCTGATTTTCTGATCAAAAACCTCTGAGAGCTTCC